GAACTTCTCAATCTTATATTTTGCAGACATCTTCTTTGCACAGAAAATAAATCACAACCGAAGCTCTGATACCAGATTGTTAGAATAAGCGCATAATAAAGCATAAATAATCTCGAAGAATAAGCACGAGAATAAACGACAAACAATTGTAAATACAGAGATTTACGTGGTTCACCCAATTTGGGCTACGTCCACGACAGAGACACAGACAAATTCCGCTATAGAAAGAGAATAGAGAAGAAAAACAAGGCAAAAGCCTAAACCCTCAAACTCTCATTCTTCAATCCTCACAATAAAACTCCTAAATCTAAAATCTCTCTCTTTTAATATATAATATAGGATACAATAATATATCAGGAAAGAAGTATCCAAAACTTGGTAGGAGTTGGAGATAAAAAAAACAAACGGCTAAAATTAAATCTAGAAATCTGCTTAAACACATCTAAACTAGCGATGGTTAAAAACGATTATCGATGGTTAATGTAGATCATCAATATAGTTCCATGTAGTCCATCGATTGTCCAAATTTTGATTTCTATTTTTCTCCAATTGTTCATTGTAACTCATCGATGATCGAAGTGATCATTGATGGTCTCACTTTGATCATCAATGATCCATTGGCTAAATTGCATAATCAGAGGTTTTTAAGGCATAAATTCAACAGATAGAAAGCTGGTGGATAGAACCCCAAGTTTCTTTATGTGTTTTTCTATAGTGTGCCCTTAGGGGGTAGGTTAAGAAGCATTAAATACTGACAAACTACTTCCACTATCATAGGATGACGCATATAAAATTAATGGTTTTTATTAAAATATATATAATTATTTCATGTAAATGATTAAAGTTATCAGATTGATTTTTTTTCCTGGACCCCTATTACCATTTTAGTAATTTTTTCCTTTGCTCTAGCATCATTTTGGTGTTTCTCTTGTAGGACAAGTGTGCAGTTAGGCCTAAAAGTGTGTCCGCAGCCAAAAAGACCCATGAGACCTCACGTAATGGCATGTGAGCATAGGCGTGGAGGGTATGAAATTACCTAACAGATAAATTTATTTTGGTAGTTAAGGTTAGTTGAAGCGTCTGAGAAGCACGTGCTCCTCTCCTTCTACCATTCAAACTTGAGGTAGAAAGTAGGGTTGGGGCTAAATTTAAAGTTCCCTCTCTTTTCAATTTTGTCTTCAAATTGCGAATCTTATCCAAAATCCTTGAATACACAACATGTCTTCTTCAAGTTTAAACTCAAACTCAAACAGGGGTGAATTGAATCGAATAAATTGTCATGGGTTTAACAGGCTAACAAGTATGGTAGTTAACTACATGTCCATGTTTGGTGGAAAATTTATAGTAAATAAAATAAAAGAAATTTAATTTGTATTCTCTCGATTTTAATTATAATTTGGATTCCTGATTACAAAAGAGAGGAGAATGATCTGGATTCTCCCCTTTGTTTAATTCTGGGTTCTTCACGGCAAAAGAGAGGAGAATGATCTGGATTCTCCCCTTTGTTTAATTCTGGGTTCTTCACGGTAGCGATGAGATGCCTCCCTCGAATGCTCGCGTCGAGTTTGCTTCTCATTGACGATCCGAACGTCTTGTTTCACTGGAACGGTATCTTCTCCTCACGATTTGACGTTGTGAAGGACTTGCGTGGAAAGTTTGAAACTCTGAACGAGTTGATAACTCAGAACGAGTTTAAACTCTTGTAAAAGAGTTGATTGATCTTAACCGTAATTGGTTAGACAAGCCAAGGACGAAGATAGCCCCAAGAATCTGTTGCCGAGAAGATGATCTGAAGAAGCCTATCTTTGGATCTCCAAAGTCCTCAAAGATCCAAAGATATCCCCCTCAAAAGCCAGCCAAGGATCTCTTTTTTTCTGCCAAAGAGAAGGATCCGAGCCCTGAACTAAACTGATTTTTTAGTTATTTATAGGGGATTAAGGGGTGTAACTGCCCCCCTTAATTCGCTTCTAAGTGGGGCTAATGGGATGTAACCGCCCCTTAAATCACTACTGAGTGGAGTTGTGATCCCTTCAGATCGTGGGAAACGGTTTTGAAACCGTTCAGCTCGTGTTTGAACGAGTCAAACACAAAATTAGCGTTCTGACGTGAATTCTGCGTTCAAACGCAGTGTCTGGAAGCTCGAACGCAGCGTCTGAAAGCTCGAACGCAGCGTCTGGAAGCTCGGACGTAGCGTTTGGAAGCTTATTTGTAGCAATTGGAAGCTGTGTTTGCATCGATTTGGATGTTGCGTTGGCAGCTTGTTAGAAGCTGCGTTGGCAGGATTTAAGAGCTGTGTTTGGCAGCGGATAAAAGCTGCGTTGACAGCTTTGGAGACTACGTTTGCGGCTGAACATGAGCTACGTTGGTAGCTGGGTTTGAGCTGGGTTGGAGCTGAATGTGAGCTACGTTTGCACTGCGTCGGCGGCTGTGAACGTGGTGCGTCTTGATGCTTGTCACGCCCCGCTTCCCAAAATACCAGGGAATCGAGACGCGAGCAAGCCCGCGACGTATTAAACTGAGAAGAGATAAGTGCTAGACCCCGTCTTCTCAATCTAATACGTTAAGCGTCAAGAAATACAAACGAAGTCACAGGTCCCCGATCACAATCAGCAAGAATATAATAAACAATACAGAATATGAAATAGACATATCATCAAAAGTAGATCATCCGAGACATAAAATACGGGTCAAACATACCCTTATACAAATCTGAACAAATGAATACTAAAGAGATAAAGCAAACTGAAAGAAATAACTAAGCTCGGTTCTTCTTCTGCTCTGTCCGCTAAGCACTCCTGCTGAGAATCCTCTGGCTCCTGATGATCTCCCAGCTAAACATGTTCTTCCTCTAAGTCTGACGTACACCAGAGAAAACAGGTGTACGTCAGGTGCATGGCGCACGACAAGACCCGACCCCACAAAACAAAAAGAGCGAACAAAAACCCAATGCGAAAACGAAATAACAATAGAAATGATAAAGAAACATGCAACGGAAATCCAATAAAATCAATCAAGTAACAAGACGATCATGCAACTAGAGATCAGAAATCATCCAAGTCACAAGGTTATACAATAGATGGAATTAATACTTAAAAATCTACAACAAGAGACGTAGTACATCGAGCGAAATAATCCAAACAAGGAAAGCCTCATGTATATACCATATGTCTCAAATTGTAGATAATTAAATATTGACCCCGATCTATGTATGAAAATAAAACAACTAGACATCCTATCACAACTCACTGGTCACTATCTCACACAGAGTCAAAGTTCACATTATCGGATATCTGGATAACAACCACATCTCACTAGTACCTCAGACCCGCCCCAGTGCGAAACGATTCACTGGTGCGTGCCTGGAAATAATCAATAATCACAATATCACCGTTCCTCAGACTCACCCCAGTGCGAAACGATTCACTGGTGCGAGCCTGGAAATAATCAACAATCACAATATCACATCACCTCAGACCCACCCCAGTGCGAAACGATTCACTGGTGCGAGCCTGGAAATAAACAATAACATATCCGATAACACGAACCAAGACTTTCCCATCCCAAGTCCAAGTTAACAACTCATATCTCACGGGTCACTACGGTAAAGCCATACTCGCGATTCTCAACTATAACAGGATATAAATGCAATGAATACTATGTAACAGTGTCATGAATCATGAACATGAAACGTGAATAACTACTTATAATAGTGCAAGATGGAACTACAACTATCAAATAATTATACATGAAAACTCGCAATTTCCAATCGTCATGATCACAAATTTATTAATTCCAAAAATAATCTTTTCCAAAAAATAGATTCCTTTAAAAGTAATCCCTTTTCCAAAAAATTTTCTTTAAAATTTTTTTACATTATAATTATTCAAAACTAACCCATTTTCCAAAATAAATTCTTTCAACTCATTTATTATTATAAAAATTCAAATTAAACCTTTTTTCCAAAATAAACTCTTTTAAAAAAATTATTTCTCATAATAATAATTCTAATTAATCTAGAAAAAATATTAATTTATCATTTGAAATCATTTAATGTCATCATCAACAGTCCCACGCAGATAATCGCAATATACTAGTTATAGCTAATCATATTACAGCACAAATAATTCGCAATAGATCCAGAAATTGAATTAACGAGTCAAAGGGGAGCGGGATCTTGCCTCGGGGTTCGTCGAACGAATCGACGCACTTTACAAGCCACATCAGCATATGAAATCACTTTACATTATTTTCACGACTACAAACAAACAATTGAATGTGATGAAAGCTGACATTGGGGCCCACTTTTTTACACTTTCCATCCTTTTACATGGTAAAAACATACAACCAAACAGCCCACAATTTTACTTTCCGAGCAAAGTGTAGCAGGAAAATAAATATTTTTTAAACGTACGTCGGGCCCCAAGTTGCTTCTAATATGGGTCCAACTATATCCACTCCCAAACAGTAACTTTGGGTGGTGGATGGACGAAATTGCCCTTTATTGTTAATTAAGCTTACATCGACCATTAAAAGCTTCTCATTAAGGTTCATTAATTCGGTTCATTAATTCTGAGTCCACAATCCTTTTTGTTTAATTGACCTTGTTTTTTTATTAATTGTTTTTTATATTAATTCCGTGTTAGACTAATTCCGTACTGTTTTTTCAGCGATATTAAGGTCATGGAGACTAATTCCGTGTTAGACTAATAAAATAACAAGGTCAATTTAACTGTTTCAAAAAAACAAGGTGTTGGACAAAAATAGAGACTTCTCATTAAGGTCATGGAGACTAATTCCGTGTTAGACTAATAAAAAAACAATTAAATTTGTTTTCAGCGATATTAATAAAAAAACAGTCCGGTGGGTTATAAATTTTTTTATTTTGTTTTATTAACTAATTCCATTTTAATTGTGTATTTAAAATCCGTGTTAGACTATAATCTGTGTCGGTTTATAATCCGTGGGTCATAAATTTTTTAGTCACGTAAATCTCACAAGGCTTACCTATTTGTTGTGTAGCTTCCGAAGTGAAAATAATGGTCGATGTAAGCTGACAGGATTTTTTGGGAATGCGGACTAATCCATGTGTCAATGCAGTAGTTCAACAATGCTCCCCAATTCGAGTAATGTGCTGCCAGACGTCCCCATCTATCATTAAAGTCATCTATGGTCGGTGCACTTATCGCCCAATTCCAACGAAATTTAAATCCTTCTGCCGCCTCTTTTAAAAAACCAGGTTGCTGCAGTGCTCGTTGTAGCACGCATTGCTCAATGTGACGGCGACACAAATGATGCCTGGATTCCGGGAAAACATACTCGACAGCATGCATCAAGGCGTAATCTCGGTCTGTTACAATGACATTAGGTGTCACTTGGCTAACGCACAAAGTACGGATAAACTGTAACACAAACCTGCAAAATAATATAACATTAATAATTTTAAATTTAAACGTAGGACAAAATAACTGTACTAAATAATTGTCAATTGTAATTTATAACAACAAATTAACATAATAACAATATTAATGACAATACTACAATAACAATGTTAATAACAATAATAATACTATAATAAGTCCTAATTAAACAATATAATAATTTTCATAACAGTAACAACTCCTAATAATACTATAATAAGTTCTAATTAAACAATATAACAATAAAAAAATAACAATATAATAATGTTCATAAAAATAATAACTCCTAATTAAACAATACTAATAACGTTCCAATAAAAATAATAACTCCTAATTCAACAATTCTAATAATGTTCATAAAAATAATAACTCCTCCTAATTCAACAATTCTAATAATGTTCATAAAAATAATAACTCCTCCTAATTCAACAATTCTAATAATGTTCATAAAAATAATAACTCCTCCTAATTCAACAATTCTAATAATGTTCATAAAAATAATAACTCCTCCTAATTAAACAATTCTAATAATGTTCATAAAAATAATAACTCCTCCTAATTAAACAATTCTAATAATGTTCATAAAAATAATAACTCCTAATTAAACAATACTAATAATGTTCATAACAATATTAACTCCTCCTAAATATTCAATTTAACATTATTCATAACATTGACAAACAATTGTACTAAATAATGTTAATTAACAATTTTAAATTTAAACATATGACAAAAATTAAAATTCATTAAGACACAAACCTGTAGTTTTCTTGTCTCTCATTTCGCATGAATGCGTAGGCGATAGTGAACGTTTTGTCCGTACTTGTTGCACCGACCACTTCTAGTAGAGGCATGTCATACTCATTGGTGTTGTACGTACAATCAATCATCATGACTTCCGGATATGCATTCACCATCACAAAAGAAGCCGGGTGGCAGAAAACAATATCTCCAAGTTCGGAAGATTCATCAGCAGTCCGAACGTCGTACATGTAGTTCAATTGCCTGAGTAAATGGATGAAATTATTCATCGGGGTCCGACCTTCTCTTTTCTGGGCACGCACCTTACTGACAGCATTGTAAACTTGTTTCTGACACGATTTGTTCTCCGGATCAGCCCTTTTCATGGACGCCAACATATTACTCGGGCTTAAATTAAAATTCTCTTGCTCCCTAATAACTTCAAGTTGAATAGGGGATATTTTACCTAAACGAGATCCCACAGCATGAGACGGGAACGGATGGTTGTGTCTCCCCTCCCGGACTTCAAAGTACCAGCGCCCTCCAGGGTACTCCATTCCGTCCAACCAAAATGGACAATTATTTTTTGTCGTTTTAGTGGACCTAGTTCCAGTAACCTTTTTTGGTCTGTATCCGCCACCTTGGCTACATAAATATCGAACTTTGGGCCGTCGGCCGTCTTTTCCCTTCGAATCACGAATTGCCAAAGTAACGTTCCTCAAGCCAGCAACATATCTTACATGAGCATCCATGTCCTCTCTACTAGCAAAACCTCCTTCCGGATTACCGAAATCGGTTGAAATGTCTTCAAACTCTACATATGAACTATGATCCTGGAATGGATCACTTTGTGTTTCGTCGATGACGAATTCAACTTCATCTAGATTTATGGAGTTGTAATCTCCAGAATTCATATTGTTTGTGATTGTAATTGTAAGTGATTGAGTTGTGAGTGTGATTTGAAAAACTTAAACTGTTGGCCTTTTTATAGGTAAAAATCTAAGGGGTCAAAATCAATTTTGACATTTTGAGTGCTCAAATCAAATTAGTAAAAAATTCTGAGTGGTGTAATTTATTTTTGAAAAAAACGATTTTATGTAATTTGTGTAAATTGTATTGAAAATGAAAATTGTTATAAAAATTTGAAATCGGAATTCGAAGCCAACCGGACACCATAAAATCGATTTGACCACATTTTCACCATATTTTCACCAATTTTTCTACCGTTTTCACCACCGGAAAATTTTATGCACACACAAAATTACATTAATTGTTGAAAATGTGGTGCATAAAAATCCCCGTAGTATTAATCTATGAGGAAAATTTATGCACCACATTTTCATGCACACACAAAATTACATTAATTTAATGCACACACAAAATTTATTAGAAAATCAATTGTTGAAAATTTGGCGAAATACATCAATTGTTGAAAATGTGGTGCATAAATTTTCTTGCCAACATTAAATTAGTGTGTTCAAAGTATCTGGTTTCGAAAATTATTATATTGTTCAAAGTATCCGGTTTTCGAAAATTATTAAATTGGTGCATAAATTTTCTTGCCAACATTAAATGGCAAGAATACAATGCCAATCCGGTACCACATTTAATCAATAGTCCACATTAAATGTACAAATTTTTTGAAGCCAACCGGATACTTTGAACACACCAATTTAATGCTCACACAAAAGTAAAAATTTATTGCACACACAAAAGGGCATTTTCGGCAATCCCACTCCCAAAGTTACTGTTTGGGAGTGGATATAGCAAACGTGGGTTGCTTCGTTGGTTTCTTGGGGAATGGGAGATGAGAGAGAAATGAGCTGGAGAGTTGTAGTGGTAGTGGGTTTCTTGGGTTTTAAAAGAGGAGAGAGAGTGAAGAAAATATAATAAAGAAGTGAGTGATTGAGTGATTGGTTGAGTGTGAGAGATTTTGTTGGATTAGAGAGAGAGTGTCAGAGAGAGAGAGTTTGATTGAGTGTGGGATTGGAGAGAGAGAAGAACGGCGGAGAATTTAATGAGAGAGATTGTGCGGGATAGGGTGGTTGGGAGGACGTGGGTTGAGGGCTGAGGGAAAACATGAGGCGGAGGGATATACAGAGTGAACACCGGTGGGAGGAAAAAACACGGGGAAAAAAAATACCCTTTTACATAGTTTAAAAAATATCATAAAATTTATTTAAAATAAATATTAAAATTTATGGTCAAAATAATAATAACAATAACAATGATGAATAACTAACTATTTATTTACAATTTTCACCAAAACAATTAAATTTATAATTAGTAAAAATATTAAAATAACATAATACCGTATTTTTAAACCGTAGAAAATTCTAGAGAAATTGAGAAAAATACAAAAACTCTTTTAGAAAAATAATATTTAATATTTAAATACCAGAGAATTATTTAAACCCGTATTAGAAATTTACGGTCATTACAATGCTAGTGCGCGGGGAGGACTTCCGTGTCTTGGTTTGAAGAGACCGTCGATTTGTAGTCTCTTTCTGTCAAAGCGTTGCAAAGATCGTCATTTTGTAATCTTTGCTTTAGCTCTTTGATATGTGAGAGTCGTCAGATTATAACTCCCGATGTTGATTGTGAAGACTGTTGATTAGAGCTTTCATCAGTTATTGTGAAGATCGTCAGATTGGAATCTTCATCGATCTACGTGAAAGTTTTGAAATTATAATCTTCTGGAAGCCGTCGAATTGTAACTTTCATCATCGGTGTTTGATGAGAATCATCTATCTGTAGTGATTTTTAGACAGCCTACAGTCCAATATATATTATTCCTAATTAATCTAATCTTAGACACATCGGCTACTTAATAAGGTTATTTTGAGGCACGTGACCTCACGTGATAATTCTAGCAACTAATTTTTGCTGCTGGGGTAAAAAAAAAATACCAAAGTGACAATAAGGATCATGAAAATACCACTCTGATAATAGAAATGTTAGGGGCACACCCCCAACCACAATCTCAACCACAACTCCTCTCCCTCTATAGTGCATTGGGCTCCACATCAATTTTTTTTTAAAAATTTGATATGGGACCAAATGCACTATAGAGGGAGAGGAGGTGTGGTGGAGGATGTGGTTGGGGGTGTGCCCCTAGCACCACTCCTCTGATAATTTAGTCTTGTTTATTCATTAACGAATAGAATGAAACAAATTGCTGAATCAATGATATGACCCACTTTCTTGGGTCATTTGCTAATGATTGATGGCCTTGACATTGTACGTGCTTATTTTATTTGTTTGTACTAGTTTTTTTGTCGTAACCAAGCTGTTCAGAACATGGATGACATGTTGTTAAAAGGGAAACGCTACCAGCACAATCTCGGACATACCTCCGGCCACACCCTCCTCTAGCTACAGTGCAGGAGGGCTCACTTGAGATTTTTTTAAAAATCTCAAGTGGGCCCCCCTGCACTGTAGATAGGGGGTGTGGTCGGAGGTGTGCCTGAGGGTGTCCGATGATGTGTCTCTATCATTTCTCTTGTTAAAATTAGCCAACGATTTTGTTACTTAAAATATTATATTATATTATATTGAAATTGTAATGATAATTGTACATAAGGGTATACTAATTTTATACTACTACAAGTAAAAAACTAAGATTATTTTTGGTAAATTATAAAAGAAAATTTATAATACTTTTAAATATTAAGGGACCTCTTTTGCTATCTTTATAATCGTGATAACTATTTAATTTATATGCAGCCAAAAAAAAATAAGGGACAACAGTGCACTCAATTGTTTGGTGCATGCGCGTGACTCTCTATTTGATCTTTATCTCCTCTGTTCAATTAAACTTCTCCTGGGTACAAAACAACTTAATTTGTTGTAAGATAATCGAGAGAGAGAGAGAGAGAGAGGGAGATGTGCATCAATATTGGTGCAGAGCTAGTTTGACAAGTGTTAGCTTGAAGCAAGAAGGTGCAGTTAATTTGAGCGGTGGACCTTTTAACAGTTTTCTTGGGGAATAGGTTCTCCTAAAGTTTTGCGGATGGGAGCGAACATGGCGTGCCGCATCAAATGTACGATTTCTTCAAAGTCCCAACTAATTCTCTGACTAAATTAATAACAAGAAGACAAAAATAAGTCATCACTAGGAAAAAACGTAAATTAGGTAGTCTCATTTAAGTGAACAGAAACTATTATCTATCTAATTTTTTTATCCGTTGATTAATTTTATTGTTAAGATTCAAGATATGCTATTTTCTTAGAGTACTTGAACTTCAACATGCGTCCTTAATAAGCGTGAAATCTGAAAACAGATAAAGATAAAAACTCAGATGGACAAGGGGACCATGTATACGTACATGAAACATAGTTCATGGTTTTTTCATCCATCATCACTTGGTTTATTTGAAAATCTAGTTGTAATTTTTAGAAAACTAAACGTAATTTTTAGTTCACATCCAAACATCGTAATTTTTGGAAAACTGGACGTAAACCCTACTTTTGACACTTCCTACCGCTTTACCTTGCGAAAACGTGCATCCAAACAGCCCCCAAGTGGATCGAAAGACATTTTGCCGCTTTCTTTCAAAAACTCTCTACCCAGTGATTTCAGTACGTAGTATAGACGGTATAGATTTGATGTACGATGTTAGGTGTTGTCGGGACACTGGATACTTTCTCCAATTAAATCTCCAAGTTGTTGGGAGAAAAAGTTGATCATTAGTAACGAGAAGGGGATGAGGTTGCGCTTGTGAGCACTACCCCCATCAACTTCATGTGTGGGTGGGGGCGGGTCACATCGATCGTCACAATAAACCCAAGGGGAGCATCTCTTGATAGAAACAAATTAATTATTTCTACCAAACTTCTCGGTATGTGTGAGCGTTAATTAATAATTTAATTATATCAAATTAAGCATCTCCCTGTGTCTGTGTGACCGGTATCATGCGCAGGCGATGACTAGCCCAACCACTGTAAACAACAGTAAATCAGAAGCGTTCATGTTCACGGGTGATATAAAAAATAGGCTTAGAAGATGAAGAAATAAAAGGTATTTCACCCATTTTTATATATATATATATATTTTTTTTTTACAAATCAATACCTTTTGGTTGTTGTTATGGATATATTTCTGACAATTAAGAGAGGTTAATAGAATGCTATTTTTTTTACAACTTATGGCATTAAAGTTTCAGTTTCTTATAACTTAGAGGGTTAAAATACTACTTTTACAATTTAAAATATTAGTCTAAAAGGGTCCGTTCGGTTGGCAAAAAAACATGGAAATTAAAGATAATGAAATATATTTCCTATAATTAGGTTGATTTCTTGTGTTTGATTCACTTCTTAAAAGTAAAAAGGAGATGATGTGAGATGAGTTGTCACCGTATTATTGGATGATGTGAGTAATTTTTAAATAAAGAAATTATAAAAAATGTTTTGAGGTTGTTTGGTGGGCTAAAAAAAGGAAATGAATTATAAGAAATATATTTCCTTGTTTAGGTTCTTTTCTTGTGTTTGGTTCATTCTTAAAACTACGAAAATAGATGAGATGAGATGAGTTGTCATTATATTATTGGATGATGTGACACGTGCTTAAGAAAATCAATTTTCTTATTTTTTTTAGGAAATGGATGGAAATAAAATGTTAATGAGATGAGACGAGTTGTCATCATATTATTAGATGATATGGGTGATTTTTAAAGATGAGATAAAATAAGATGAGATGAGTTGGATGCTGTGACCAATTTCTTGTGTTTGGTTTATTTTTAAAAGAAAGAAAAGAGATGAGATAAGATAAGTTGTTGGATGAAAATAATATTTTATTAGATATTGTGGGTGATTTTTAGAAATGGAAATGGATGAAAATAATACTTTAATAGTTTCCATGTACCAATTTCCTTTTCTTGGTTTTTAGAAAACCAACCAAACGGACCCTAAACGT